TCACAATGTGCCCATTCAGGACCCCAGAGAGGAATGTTTGTGAAATATCCTGTTTTAATTTGGGGGATTTTTTTTCCATCGGGGAGCAGCATAGGGGGAAGGGTGGTTGCCAAAAGCCTAAGGGACTTTCTTTGGTCATTGTTTTTTTGGGGCCCTCCATATGGATTCATAGCATGTCTGAGCTGGGAGGGACCTTGAAGAGCATCCTGAATGTAAATGCTAATCTATGCACATGATAACTTCTCATCCCAGCCAGCCTTTGGTTGAAGACTTTGAGGGAGGGGGAGCTCAGGACCTCCCTAAGCAGTGTCTTCTCATACCTCTACTTAATAGGTAATTTTTTCAGATAATAATAAGAATGATAAAAAAAAAAACAACAACAGCTACCATAGCTAATACTTTTATATAATGTTTTAAGGTATGCAAAACACTTTCTGTTTTCTAATTTGATCCTCACAACAACCATTTCAGTCATTAAATATTTGTTAAGAGCCTACTATGTGCCAGGTACTGAGCTAAGTGCTAGGGATACAAATATGAAAAAAAGACAGTCCTTGCTCTCAAAGAGCTTACACTCTAATGGGGGGATGATAACACTTACAGGGAAGCTGAAAAGTAGGAGTGGAGAAGGGGTTCCTGGGAAAGGTACCTCATACAGGGGCATAGTGGAAAAGGCAGGAAAGTCCCAAAGTAGTACAGCAAGATGAAAAATGGGGTGATGTTCTGAGCTGAACTCTCTCCTTAAATGGAGGATTTGGAGTTCATGGCTCCATTCTCCAATCCAACCCACCCTGGGAGGTAGGTGCTGTTATTATTACCATTTTACAAATGAGGAAACTGAGACAGACAAGAGGTTAAGCTACTTGTCCAGGGTCACACTGCTAACAAGTGTTAGTTTGACATGAATCTGCAGGATTTGAACTCAGGTCCTTCTGACTCCCAAGTCCAGCACTCTTTCCACTGCACCACTTGGTCACCTCTTCCCTTCTTTCCAAGTTCTACCCATTCTGTCCTGGTTCTGCCCCTCGAGGCCAAGCAGAACCAGGTTTCTACCTTTTCCAAGTAATAGCTCAGAAATGTTTAAAATCTTTTCAGCCCAGCTGCAAGGCCCACTCCGTCTCTGTCTCCCCGTTTCTCTTCTCCATTTCCCATTTCTACAGCCAATCTTCAGATGGCATGATCTGAAAGCCCTTCACCAGATACTTTTTTGCTTATCAATATCCTTCCTAAAATGTGATGCTCAGAACTAAACCTAGTATTCTACCTGTGGTCTGAGGAGGGCAGGGCACAGCCAGACCATTGCCTCCCTGGTCCTCTGGCATTTGGTTTGGCATCCTCTGAACCATAGTGAACTTGTGGGCCACTAAGATCCCTAGATCTTTTTTCAAAGTGTTGACTGTCCTCTACTCTTCCATCTTCGTTAGGACTCTGTGAGTTATTTAGGGTTTCTTCCCTGATAAAGGTCATGGCCACTAATGACCAATGATGGAGACTGAACTACATCTTTTTTAGGATTAGATAGTCAAAACATTTATTAATCATAAGATTATAAATGTATTACTCTTATTGTTTTTGAATCATAAATCATAGATCACAGTTTATAGGATCATAGACTTAGGGCTGGAAGGAATGTTAGGGGCTATCTGGTCTAAGCCCCTCAGAGGAAGAATCAAACCCAGAGATGTTAAGTGAATTGTCCAGGGTCACACACATAGCAATTAGTAGAATCACCACTGGATAATGCTCATCCACATAATGGAAATAAATTCTTCATTAGCTATTGTGAGGGGCACATATCATGCAGCATCATGGCATAGTAGAAAGAACACTAAACTTTACATAATGAAGCCTGAGTACCAGTCTCAACTTTGCCACTTAATATGTGCGTAACCAAGTCTCTGAAGCCCCAGTTTTTTCATCTGTGAAATGAGAATAAGAATCCTTGTGCTAGCTCCCTCTTTCTTTCACTACTTGGAAAGAAAGCATTTTGTGTTAAATACATCTATTGAATGTGAATTGTTTTATTTTTATCTTAATACTAATAGAGCACATGGAATCAACACCGATGGGGGCTCCAACTCCCATTAAGGTTGATAGCTGTATTACTTCCCCTGCTCTTGTGTTAGAACCAGTCTCCACTTAAATGTTCCTTTTGCTCTGTTCTATGAAGGAGTTGACTAGGGATTCTTGGAGGGGTAAGCTTAGATGAGCGTGAGCTCAGACAGGCTTCACCAAATGAGAAAGATTCCATTATGGGCCTGGTGACAGACTGCATGTGCTCTGATGACTAGTCTGGCTATGTTTGGAAAGAAAGTTCGTTACCAAGGAGTGGTAATCGTTTGGCCATAGCATCACAGATCTAAGTCTGGAAAAGACTTTAGAGTCCAGCTTGTTCAAACCCGCCTCTTCCTCTCATTTTACAGATCAGGAAACTGAGGCCCAGGGAGGTTAAGTGATACAGGTAGTAATCAGAGATGAGTGATCAGAGATGAGTTTTGACTTCAGAGCCAGTTGGGTGTTCTGTCTCATCCTGTACCGGAAAGGTTGCTGGTTCAAGACCCAATGAAAACGCAGCATTTAAAATGTCATCCTAGGGGCAGCTAGGTGGCTCAGTGGATAGAGCACCGGCCCTGGATTCAGGAGGACCTGAGTTCAAATGCGGCCTCAGACACATAACACTTACTAGCTGTGTGACCCTGGGCAAGTCACTTAACCCCATTGCCTAGCCAAAAAAAAAAAAAAAAAAGAAAAGAAAAGAAAAGAAAAAAATGTCATCCTAGGAAGTATATGGCAGGTTGGTTGGCCTAGGAGTCAAGAGTAGGATGAGATGGAACTTTTGGTGTTGAATTACAGTGTCTCACTACCTGCCCTCTGGTGCCTGCCGGGCTGAAGGCTGGTGTTGACTTAGATCTGTGGTCCTCTGTTCTTTTTATAGCTGCTGACGTCGGGCCAGCGGCAGCTATTGCTATGCGAGACCCTGACGGAGACAGTGTATGGGGACCGTGGGCAGCTTATCAAGTCCAAGGAGCGCAAGGTTTTCCTGCTCAATGACATGCTGGTGTGTGCCAACATCAACTTCAAGTAAGTGGCCTGTTGGCTCCTCCCTGTGGTGGTAGAACCTTCGTTCTACCCCGTAAAAGTAGGGGAAGGGAGTGAGAGGAGGGGTCATCTGGAGTGTACCTTTCTTACCCTAGTCCAGTCCCTTGGGACCACCATTCAGATGCAAGGATTCTTTCTTCTTTAAGACCAGAGCTATGGGGGTAATTGATCAGGGAACTTCTGGTCCCCTGGTCGATAGCTCAAGGATGCTACAGAATCCCAGAGTGGGCCTTGCATCTGATCCCTGGCTTTTTGGCAAGTGACTGTCACAACCATGGGGTAATAGAAAGAATTTCACTTTTAGTGTCAGAGGTACTGGGTTTGAATCCCACCTCTACTCCTTAGCTATGTGTGTGATGTTGGGCAAGCCCCTTTACCTTTCTGGTCTTCAGTTTCCTCTTCTATAAAATGAAGGCTTAGACTAGATCACCTCTAAGACCCCATCTACTTCTGACATTCTGTGTTTAAGGCCCCCCCCCCCCCCCCCCCCCCCCGTTCTCCGGACCCCCCCCCCCCTGCCCTCCTGGGTTCTAAGGTCCCTCCTAGCTCTGACATTCTGTGTTCTAAGGCCCCCCCAGCTCTGACATTCTTGGTTCTAAGGCCCTTCCCAGCTCTGACTTCCTGGGTTCTAAGGACCCTCCCAGCTCTGACATCTTGTGTTCTAAGGTCCCTCCTAGCTCTGACATCCTGTGTTTTAAAGGCCCTCCCAGCTCTGACATCCTGTGTTCTAAGGTCCCTCCTAGCTCTGACATGCTGTGTTCTAAGGCCCCTCCCAACTCTGACATCCTGGGTTCTAAGGACCCTCCCAGCTCTGACATCCTGTGTTCCAATGTCCCTCCTGCTCTAACATTCTGTGCTCTAAGGTCCCTTCTAGCTCTGACATCCTGTGTTTTAAGGCCCCTCCCAACTCTGACATCCTGGGTTCTAAGGTCCCTCCCAGCTCTGACATCCTGTGTTCTAAGGCCCCTCCCAGCTCTGACACCCTGTGTTCTAAGGGCCTTCCCAGCTCTGACATCCTGTGTTCTAAGGGCCCTCCTGACTCTGACGTTCTGTGTTCTAAGACCTTTCCAGCTCTGACATTCTGTGCTCTTATAATTCTGACATTTTGTGTCCTAAAGTCTCACCTGGCATCCTGGAATCCTATGAAAAGATAATTTTTTGTTCTGCTTTTGAAGATTGGCCTTGGGATGACAATTCCAGTGCCTCTTCCTTGGTTGTCCCACTTCAGTACCATCTCTTTTTGATACTGCAGACACTCTTTCTTTCATCCAGACCTCATCTCTTGATTTTATCTGAGCACATGCTTACTTGGCTTGAAAGCTTTTGCCTCTGGGTGCCCACCTTCATAACTTATGTTCATGTTTAGGAGGTTCCTAATTTTGGGTCAGACGCTTGAAGGAAAGTCCTGGGACCAGAATGGACTCGTCCAATTTAGAGCTGAAAGGGCCTCAGAGAGTCCATCACTCTCCTTTTAGGGAGAAAGAGCCTGAGGCCCAGAGAGTCTGGGACGTCCTTCAGGTCAGCAGGGTTATAAATGGTAAAGCCAGGATTTGAGCTGTGTTCCTCTGACTGCAGAGCACCGTTCACTCCATCGCACCATGCTGTCCCCCCTCTCTCTACTATCATCAGTAACGTTTTTGTGACAGCCTTGCTTTCCCGGTATCAAACACAGAGAATCCAAAACCTCTTCCAAGTCATTTCAGCATCTAAAGAATTAAATCATGCTGTAGGGCTTTGGATTTTGTGATTCTGGGTCCCTTGTGCCATCACTCCTGATGAATATTCACTTCTCACTCATTTATTCAGTTGACTCAAGAAGGGACCCAAAGTGCAGTAAAGGCGAGGTGGGGGAGAGGGGGAAGAGGTGGGGTGGCAATGTACCAGGTTTGGGTAGTGGAATGTAATCCCCTTGAGGGCAAGGCCTGGTTTTTGTTTCTGTCTTTGCAATCTCCAAGACTTTTAGTGGGTACTTAATAAAGGCTTGTTAAATGAATGGATGAATGAATGAATGAATGAATAAGCAACTCACAGTAGAAATACAGGAAGGTCATTCCTCTAAGGCAGACAAATAACTCAATGCAGAAGGAGCTGGACCAGGAGTCCGGAAGGTTTGAGTTCATTCTTGTCCCATGCACCTACTAAAGGTGTGTGACCCCGGGCAAGTCATTTAACCTAATGTCTGTAATGTGCTTGGCGCTGTGTTGGCACATTGTTCCCTTCCCTTTGTTCCCTTGTCTGCCTCAGTTTCCACATCTGTAAGATGGGGATAAAAATAGCTCCTACCTCCTGGCTCATTAAGATAAAATGAACTGATATTTGTAAAGCTCTTTGAAGACCTTAAGGTACTATATAAATCCTAGCTGCTATTACTGTTATTATTATTATTATTCCCTCATCTATTAATTCAACAGACTTATTAAGGTGTAGTTTCTATGTGCAGTTGGAGGAGATACAGAGTATAGATAAGACCTGCCTTCACAGAGCTAACAGCTTTGTAGGGGAAGAAATCACCAGCGTAGATGTAATCCTCCATAGTAATTGATTGGTATATTTGAAATTAAGAACAAAGTACTTCGTGAAGTATGAAGGGAAAGGTTAATCCTGATGGGGAACAAGGATGGAATATTTTTGTACCCACCCCCCAGGGCCCACCCTAGTGTCCTGCCCAGAGCAGTTCTTAGCTTACATTAGAAAAGAGTACTTATAATGACCTACCTTCCTCCTTCTTGTTTTTCTCAGGCCTGTCAACCACAGGTAGGTGGGATGGGAGCCTTGGCTCTCCAAGACGGGAATTTGTGTGTGGTTTTGGTGCTGGGGCTGGGCTTGCCTGGTGCTTCTGACTTAGTTTAATCTTGGTGTGGGGGCTGCCATTTGGGGCTGCATGGTTTGTGGCTGAGCTGCTCAAACGGGGATGATGGGAGTCTCAAGAGTGGGATGGGTGAACAACTGGGATCCTCCCTTTCATTTCCACAGGGGACAGCTGGAGATCAGCAGCCTGGTCCCCCTGGGCCCTAAATACGTGGTGAAATGGAACACAGCCCTACCCCAGGTACAGGTGGCGGAAGTGGGCCAGGAAGGTGGCACCTATGATAAGGACAATGTCGTCATTCAGAATGCTGGAGCCAAAAAGTCTTCTCCCGCCAGCCAGGCCCACAGTGAGTGTCTCATCTTTTTCCTTCCCCCTTCCCCATCTCCATCCCCAACCCAATTCCAAGGTATCGCCCTCTCACCACCATCTTCCAGAATTTCTGGCAGAGAAAAGAGAACGAGATAGAAATGCAGGCTCAACTCTCTGAGTTGCTTATTTTTCACCTCTAAGGTTACCTAGGATCTATTAACAGCCAAATCCAATCCTCATCCTCTGATCTTTACTTAGCTTTTGACCTCCTTTTCCTTTTGGGAACCTGGTTTTCCTCCTACCTCTCTGACTGCTTCTTCTCAATTCTCTTTGCTTATGCCATCATCCATCTATCTCTCTCACTCCCTGTGCAGGTGTCCTCCAAGACACTCTCCTGGGGCCTAGTCTCTTTTCTTTAGATATACTTCCTTGGTGATGTAATCAACTCCTTTAAGCTCAGTTATCATCTCCGTGTTTTAATTCCCAAATCTCTCCTCTCCTCCCTCTCTCTTTCTCTTTCTCTCTCTCCCTCATTTATCTCTCTCCTTTCCCTTTTCTCTCTTTCCCTCTCTTTTACATAAATATATACACATGTGTATATGTGTATATACATACATGTACACTTTGTATATAATTGTTACATATACATAATTATATATAATTTATATATACACGCATATAAATAAAATCTATGTACATATATATGTTATTTATACTCACATACATAAATAAAATCACCAAACAAATCTCTCTGCTGAATTCATGTTTAGCAGCTGCCTCCTAGACCTTTCAGCTGAACATTCTAATAGCATCTCAAAGGCACACTAGGTCCCCAAACTGGGTTCGTCTTCCTTCCTCTTTAACCTGCTTCCTTTCTAAACTTCTCAGTGTCACAGCTGGCACCATCTTCCCAGTCTCCCAAGCTTATAGCCTCATAGTCATTTTGGATTTTTCCCTCTTCCTCAGCTCTGTATCACATCAATTGTCATGTTTTTTATTCCTTTTAAATAGTATTTTTTTCTGATTACATGTAAAGACAATTTTTAACATTCATTTTTAATCAAATTTTGAGTTCCAAATTTTCTCCTTCCCTTCTCCCTAAGATAGCAAGCAATTTGATATATGTTATATGTGCTCAATCACGTCATGTCTTTTTAAAAAATTCAAATTTTCAAAAATAAGCACACTTTAATTTTAATTTATTGTTGTTGTACTATCGTTTCAGTCATGTCTGACTCTCCGTGACCCCATTTAGAGTTTTCTTGGCAGAGATACTAGAGTGGTTCGCCATTTCCTTCTCCAGCTCATTTTATAGATGAGGCAAGACTAAGGGTTAAGTGACTTGCCCAGGGTCACACAGCTAGGAAGGGTCTGAGGATTTGAACTCAGGTCTTCTTGACTGGGGCTATATCCATTGTGCCACCTAGCTGCCCCTCATTTTCACTGATTTCTCCTCAAATGGTAAAAGAAAAAGAAAAAGAAAAGCCAAAGCTTGGTAACAAATTTGCACAGTTGAGCAAATAATTCCCATGTTGGCTGTATCCGAAAGCGTATGTGTCCTTCTGCGTGCGGGGTCCATCATGTCTGCATCCGTCTGGGAGGAGGGTAGCTGTGTCTTCATTGCTGCTCCGGAATCGTGGCCGGCCATCCTATCCATCAGGATTCTTTCCCAGCTCTGTGTCTTGGCAGCATTGCTCGTCTTTGTATGAAATTCACTCCTCATTGTTTCCCTTTGCTCTGCGTCCGTTCACACGCACGCCTTGCTGATTCTGCACCGACAGCCTCTCTGGAATCTGTCCCCTTCTATCCATCGCCTTTCCTGTGGACTCTTGTAATGGCTCCTAATTGGTCTCCTTGCCTCCTTTAACTCCTCTCCCCAATCCGTGTTCTGTAACTGCCAGATTAATGCTTCTAAGGCAAACATTGACCACGTCACCCTCCTCCAAAGCTTTGAACTGTTCTCTGTTGCCTGGAGGATTAAACCGAAACCTCCCAGTGGCCGTCTGCAAACTGGCTTGGGGCTAAGCTTTCAGGCTTTTCTCTATCACTCCCTATTTACGCATCCTACCTTCTGGCCAGGGTGGGCGCTGGCTGTTCCCTGAGCTCAGCATTATCTCTCGTGGGCCAGTGCATTTGGACAAACCTTTTCCCCCTCAGAATCCTTAGCTCCCTTCGGGGTTCAGCGCAGGGGGTCACCTCCTCCTCGAAGCCTTCCCCAAGCACTTTTGATACTCTCTTCCTCCTCAGGTTACCTGGTGTTTATACTCACTTGTATACATGTTGTACCCTTCCCACTTCTAGCCCCTCAGAGAATAGGTGCTTTTTGGGGGCAAAAACTCCTTTAATTTTGCCTTTAATTCCCACGGAGGACCATAGTCAGAACCTGGCACGTAGTAGGTGCTTAATATGTATTTGTTGAATTGATTACAATACTTGCAGTCCCTTGTCCTGGGGTTCTTGCAATGACTATGTTCTGTCCACTATCAAATGCTTCAAGAATGTGGGTTGTTATTATTTTTATGGCCTGGTTGGAGGCTAGTTCTCCATTGGCCGCCCTATGTTGCAGCTAGGTGGGTCAGTGGATAGAGCTCTGGACTTGGAGTCAGGAAGACCTGAGTTTGAATCCTGCTTCATACACTGGCCTTGTGGCCCTAGGTGAGTCACTCCATTGCCCCAGCCTCAGTTTCCTCATCTGTAAAGTGGGAGTAATAATAGTACCTACTTCACAAAGTTGTCTGCGGATCAGATAAAATAATATCTGTAAAGGGCTTTGCGAGCCTTTGTGTTAGGTGTCTGTGAATTGTCTGCAGAGGTGTGAAGCAGCTCTCATTAATATTGTTATCATTATTATTGTCTTCATAATTGCCCTGTGAGAACAATAAGTGATTGAATGAGTCTCAGTGCACACTCAGCTCACCAGCCCCGATGCTTTTTTTGAGAGGGGAGGGGAGAGGGAGGTACAAAATCTAATATCCCTTTGTAGGGTCATGGCATAGTAGATAGACAGCTGGCCCCAGAGCTGGGGCGAGGTTGCAGGTTCAAGTCCTTCCCCTGATACACGTTGGCCGTGTGACCCTGGGTAAGTCCCTTAACCTCTCCCGGGCAACTCTGAGATGAGAAATTGAAAAACAGATGCCAGCCTGCTTCGGTGGAAGGAATTTTATCACCGAGAGTTCTTTCTACCAGTGCCTAGTTTAAAAAACAAAACAACCCTCTCTCCCCCAATAGAATCATTGAACCTTGGAATGTGATTCTCTACATGGGAACATTCTCTTCTTTGATCCCAATAGCAACCCCTTTTGAGCTTAGCAGGATAGGAATTATCATCCCCAGTTTACAGAGGAGGAAACTGAGGACCAGAAAATGAAAATGTCTTATCTAGCATAATTCAGGACAGACCCAGGAGTCTGAAGCCTTTTTTCCAAGGCTTTTTCTCCTTCTCCTGGGTGGCCAGACCATCTGTATGACCCTGGCTGTTTCAAGCAGGCTGCTCTGGGCCCCCTCAGTGTAGGGCTGTCAGATGGCATGGATGGGAGGTATCTTCTCTTTCTAGGGAGGGTCCCTGGGGTCTGTGGTGGGGTGCTTAGCCCAGTACCACACCATCCTCGGGCTGAAGAGGCCCAGATTTGCTTCCCTGTGCCTGCCAGCTGTAGGGGAACAGCTAGATCTGGGAGGAGGTAGTAGGTGGGGGCTTGTCTCTCTCTGCCTGCCCTGGCAGAACCATTCAGGAAGTGTGGAGGGAGCACTTGCACCACGTGTGTTCTCTGTAAGGCAGACTGGGATGGGCACGTGACCAGAGGGGCCCCTTTGGGGAATTATCTCTCTCCCTGGCCCCCTTTCTAATTAATAGAGCAACTGGATCGATGGAGTGGAACATGCTTGGACTCCTTTTCGTGCATCACTCTTCAGAGAAGCTGCTCCTGAGGTCTCCTCCTCCCACCTCTTCCCTCCTTCTGTTTCTCCTTCCCTTCATCAGATGCCTCCCTTCATAGAAGCTTCTTGGCCCATGGCTCTTCCCACCCACTTAGGTGCTGCTCATTAGAGACCCTCCTTATCATCAACCCATCTCCCTGAACATCTTCTCCATCTCATCCATACATAGAGGCCCTCCCCCCTCAACACACAAGTGGTCTTTTTTTCCTATACTGAGAAAGCTTCCCCCAAGGAATCCCTCCAGAATTTTAGAGGCTGTTGACAAGGATGATGAAGATGAAGGTGATGGTTACTGTGAATGTTTGGAGAGGCAGTGCAGCCTAATGGAAGACCTACTGATGAGTCCCATCTCTGATGCATACTGGCAGTGTGACCTTGAATGACAACCTTTCAATGGCTCAGTCATGTCTCTAAGACTAAGCTCTGGAGCAGTGGCAGATCTGCATTGGTGGGGGTTCTTTTCATACCGGGAGTACCTTACTCTAACAATAAAATCAAGGGCTCTGACCAAATTATATAAATATATGTAAACATGATTATATACACATGTATGTAATTTCTTATGCATGTTCACTGTGTCATGCTTTCACAATCATTACTTCACTGAATGTTTCCAATTATAGAATGTTAGATTTAGATCTAGTTGTTCAGTTGTTTTCATTCATGTCCAACTCTTTGTGACATCATTTGGGGTTTTCTTGGCAAAGATACTAGAGTGGTTTGTCATTTCCTTTTCCAGCTTATTTTAGGGATGAGAGAACTGAGGCAAACAGGGTTAAGTGATTTGCCTGGGTCACATAGTTAATAAATGCCTGAGGCTGGATTTAACTCAGGTCTTCTTGACTCTAAGCCTGGGCTCTATCCACTGCACTACTTAACTGCCATAGAAAAGAGCCTGAAGGCCATCTGATCCAATGCCATCATTGTATAGAAGAGGAAACTGAGGCACAGGAAAGCTAAGTGGCTTGCCAGAGGTCATACAAGTACCATGAGTCAGAAGTGGGATTTGAACCCGGATCCTCAGAACCAGTGTTCTTTCAAGCATATCACAATGACACTTTCAGGGAGATAGGACAGGGAAGCAAGCACTGGATTTGAACTCCAAAGACCTGGATTTGAATCCTGACTCTGCTACTTATGACATGTTTGAGCATGGACAAGTCACTTTCTGTATCTGGGCCTCAGTTTCATCATCTGTAAAATGAGGGGGTTGGACTGGATTACCTCGAAGATTGTCTCTACTGTTAGCCTATCATTTATGATTCTCATTTTACAGATCACTTTACAGATGAGCAAGCTTGGCCTGAGAGGGAAGCGGTGACCCCAGATCACACAGCTGGGCACATAGGCCGCGTTCGTGGCAGGGACACTACTGAGATGATGTGCTCTTGACTCCCCGGGCAGTGCTAATATCTGTGGCCCAGCAAATCTCACGGCTTCCACAGACTGCCTCCGATCTTAGGGGAAGCTCCACAAATCCTTCTTTTTCTCATTTTGCCGCTCGCCCAAAGTATCTATGGGAAAGCCACATTGGTAGATGTCTGGTCAAAGAGTGTAGACACACTTTGGGCTGTCCCCTGCCGTGCCGTTGCTCAGCAAGCTGTTTACACTAGTTCATCTGGGCGTCCATCTGTGCAAGGCGAACGAGTGAATTATTTTGCTTTTTTCCTACCCTCCTCATCCTGGCCCGTGCCTGAGTTTTCTGTCTTTTCTCTCCCAGACAAGGTGTACCTTGGGCCCCCTCGCCTCTTCCAGGAGCTACAGGATTTGCAGAAGGACCTAGCGGTGGTTGAGCAGATCACCCTGCTCATCAGCACCCTCCATGGCACCTATCAGGTACTGAGCGCCCCTTGGGCAAAGTTCCAGGGGCCTGAACGTCAGACAGCTCAGCAAAAGCGTTCGTTATCCTTGCTCGGTAACGGGTTGGGATTCAGCGGGAGCCAGTGCTGACTCTGGGTTAGGGGCTATGTGTCCATTCTCTTGGAGGTATTTTGGGGCTGTCTAGAGTGATAGTGTTGGCAGCCAACCTCATATCTACCTGGAAATCTGATGTGAAGCTTCCAGGGTAGGGCAAGGCGTTATTGTGGTGAAGCATCCCAGACATTGCAAACTCCCCAGAAAAGAGATCGTTCCTTTATGTGGTCCATTCTTGGGACATTGCTCTGGCTGGACAGTTGTGGTCATCATCATCATCATCGTCTACCATTTCTGTAGCTCCTTACATATATTATCTCATTCATTCTCATAACCACCCTGTCTGCTCCTCTTTTATTGTCCTCGTTTTACAAATAAGGAAACTGAACTGAAGTGACTAGCTACAGCTAGTATTTGAGTGGGTAGAGTCGGCTCAGGTCTCCCTTACTACAAGTCCTATATTCCATCCGCCGTCCCACCTAGCTGTCAGGAAGTCAGTCATTCAGTCAATAAGCATTTGTTAAGCCATATGGAGTGCCAAGCATAGTGCTAAGTGCTGGTGATACAAAGAAAGGCAAAAACATGGTCTCGTTCCCTGAGGAGCTCACATTTTAGTGGGGGAGAAAGCATGCAAAATAGATACATACCCTTGTTGTAAATAGAGGGTAGTCTCAGAGTGAAGAGAGCTGGTGTCAGTGAACTTGCCTCCCAGCAAGCAGTGTCTCATCAATAGTGCCCTTAGAACCGGGCCAATCACAAAGTTCTTCTTCAGCCGGGAGGAAGTTTGACTTGGGCTCAGGAGACTTGGCTTCCTCTTTCATTCCATTCAAGCCAGAATTCTTTAACTTCACCTCCTCCTCTATAACATCAGGGCTTTTTGATATATAATAAAATATATGTATGTATATATACATATATATAATAAAGCTATATAATAAAGTCAAGGGTCAGAGATTATATCCCAGTGCCATGTTGTTCTGCTAAAAGTGGAAACTCCTGTGATTCCTTTCTTTCCCACCTTCACCTCCACAGTGGGAGCAATCCAGGATGGGATGGGACCATTGTGGGTTTTAGGAAGGCAGACAGATTTAGCAGTGACTTAATCAACCCCCACTGGGTAACCACTATGTACCCTTTCCATACTCTTGTTTTCTTTCTCTCGCACACAGAATTTGAACATGACAGTGGCTCAAGATTGGTGCCTTGCCCTACAAAGGCTGATGCGGGTGAAGGAAGAGGAAATCCACTCTGCTAATAAGTGTCGTCTCCGTCTCCTGCTCCCTGGAAAGCCAGACAAGTGAGTAAAGGGTTTGAGAGGGAAAATGGTTTCCAATTTCCTTCCATTTAGCCAAGGTTTATTTTTAATTCATTTGTCCAACAAGCATTTATTAAGCACCCACTTTGTGCAAAGCACTCTGCTAGTTGCTGGAGATACGGAGGCAAAAATAAAAGTGTCTGCCCTCATGAAGCTTACTACATTCAGCTGGGGGAAACAGCATGTACTCAGATATACCTACAGGGTATCTACAAAGTAGTTATACAAGGTATATTCCAATACACACAAAGTAAATACACTGCAATTAAGCATTTATCAATAGATCAGGCCTGGCTTTTGCATCTGACTGGACTTCACCTTGGGGCAGCATCCTGGGGGGTTTCTAGGGATGGAGGCAACATGGACTGGGAAGAGGGAAGGAGGCATTTGGGAGACATCCTTTTCTCTGCAGCATCCTGAGGAAAAATAGCTCACATTTCTAGAGCGCCCTCAAGCTTTTCTCACAACCACCCCATGATGCTCCATTTTTTAAAAACTGAATTTAGAATGACCCTTTTTTTTTTTTAGGCTATTGGGGTTAAGTGACTTGCCCAGGGTCACACAGCCCAGGGTCAAGTGTTTGGTCTGAGGCTAGATTTGAACTCACGTACTCCTGACTTCAGGGCTGGTGCTGTATCCACTACACCACCTAGCTGCCCTTAAAAACTGAATTTAACAATCATCAATAAACGCAAACACTTCAATACATTAAGAGAATCGTATGCATTGTGAACTGTTATTTACCATTTATGTTTTCATATTTCACATTCAGTGTGGAAGTTCCAACATTGCTCATTGCTTGTCTGTATCTTCCCTCTTTTGTTCATTTTTAATGAATTGTAGACACTCTTTTTCCTTTACTGAATTATTGGTATCATCATTCCCCCAAATTGCCCTTCCTCCCAACACAAATGACATCCCTCCTTTGTAACATCTAAGTTTAGTTGTGGAAAACAAATTTACCCATTGGTCGTGTCAGAAAAGTCCCATTCTGACCTATTACTTTGCTGCCACAGATTGGGGAAATAGTTAAACCAGTTGTAGAACATATAAATACAACTGCACAGTAAGAGATGAAAATGGAGAATATGGAAAAGTATAGGAGGACTTATATGAACTGATCCAAGTTTCAGTGGGAAATATGCTTCAGTATCCGTCTTTTAGAGTCATGCTGGTTCACTGTGCTGGTCAGAGTTACTTTCACAGTTGGCTTCCTTTACATCATGGTAATCATTGTATCAGTTTTTCTTCTGGCTCTGCTTACTTCCCTTTGTATCAGTTCATACAAATCCTCCTGGTATGTCTGAATCCCTCCCATTTTTCCTCTCTTATGATGCAATAATATTCCATCACATTCGTATGCCACAGTTTGTTCAGCCATTTCTTGATTGATGGGCACCCATATGACTTTTAGTCTTTGCCCCAACAAAACATATCACTATAAGAAGTTTTGTACCTATGGATACTTTCCTTCTTTCTTTGATCTTTCTGGGGTAATTGGATTAGCTCCATTTTTTCATATGAGGAAACTGAGCTTCAGAGAGAATAACTAACCAGTTTGCTCAGGGTCACACAGCTAGTGAGTATCAGACTGAGATTTGAACTCATTTTCTCTGGTTCAATGGTCTTTCCACCACATTATGTCAACTTTCTTTTTAAAAAAATTTTTTTTATTCATATCTTTCATTTAAAAATAATTTTATTGATATCTTTGGTTTTTAGATCATTACATTTCCAGTCTATCCCTCTCTCTCCAAGAGAGTTGCCTTTTATACCAATGAGAACCTAAGTGAGCAAAGCTAACTACGTCTGACTTTATATGCAGAATTCGATAACCACAGTCCTCCACCTCTGCAAAGAAGGAAGGAAGGTGCCTTCTTATAGCTCTTCTTTGTGACCAAGCTAATTCATTTTGATTTCACAGACTTCAGTTTTGATTGTTTTATTGTTGCTATTTCCATTTACATTGTTATGGTCATGATTTATGTTGTTTTCTGATTTTATTTCACTTGTATCAGTTCATGTAAGTCTCCCTATACTTTTCCATATTCCCCATTTTTATAATTACTGTTCAATAGTATTTGTGTTACATTCATGTTCTACAACTTGTTTAGCCATTTCCCCAGTCAATGGGCATCAGTTCTTTTCTAGTACAAAAAGTGCTTCTGTAAATATTCTGGTGTATACAGGGCCTTTCTTTTGATCAATGATTTCTTTGGGGTCTTGTTGACTAGCAGTAGAATTTTTCTGGCTCAGAGGGTGTAGATATTTTACTCACTTTCTTAGCTTAATTCCAAATTGCCTTCAAGCATGGTTGGAACAATTCCCAGATACACCAATGCCCTGCCTGTCTTTCCACAATCCGTCCAACACTGACCGTTCCTATCTTTTGTCATCTTTGCCAACTTTCTGCATGTGAAGTGAAGCCTCATGGCTGTTTTTATTTGAATTTCTCTCATTACAGTGATTCAGAGCCATCTTTCATATGACTGCTAATAGTTTATAATTCTTTTTCTTGTTTGTTCATATCGTTTGACCATTGGATGCTATGTTGATTTTCAGTGAAGTGGGCACACATGTTCTCCTGGCATCTTTTAAAAGTCAGCCCTGCAGAAAGATGTACTTGACTACAGGTTAGGTTCTGGGGTAGTGTGGGCCCTTTATTAAGAGGTATTAAGTGATGGATTAGAAGCATGGGGTTGAAATTTAATATTAAGAAGTATCAAGTGAGGGATTAGAAGCATGGGGGAAGGAGGTGGGGCTGAAGGCTAAGCATAGCCCATGCCCCTGATGTGGTGGAGAGAGTATATAGGATTGGAAATCAGGGGACCCAGGTTCTAGTTCTTCTATTACCTGAGAAGTGATGTGAGGCAACTTACCTAGCATGGCGCCATGTTGATAGAGTGCTAAACTTGGGAAGACCTGAGTTCAAATTCTGCCTCTGACATTATTAATTATCACTTAAAATCAATTTCCTCATCTGTAAAATGGAGGCAATAAAACCTCCAGTGTTTTCCTCTTAGGGAGGTTCAAATATGATAATGGATATAAATGCACTTTGCCAACACTAAGGAGCTCTATACAATGCATTATTATTCCAGGAGGATATCAATTCCTTGATGATAGGGACAGTTTCCAGTTTGTCTTTGTATTTTCAGTACCTGGCATGAAGGGCCTTCTATATTTTTCTTTTTTGGGGGAAAGGGAATCTAGACTCCTGATTTCATGAGTGTGAAGAACTCCCAGTGTGGAATTTCCCTCCACAGGGGAAGAACAATAACTCATCTCTAACTTACTGTCTTGGGAGGGGGAGATATGAGTAATGTCATATCATTTCTTTGGGCCCGATGGGGCAATGAGAGGTTTAGTGACTTGCTCACGGTCACAGAGCTGGTATGTTTCAGAGGCAAGACTTGACATTTGATTTTTCTGACTCCAAGGCTGGTTGCCCTTTTACCATACCATTTTTCCTATCGTCTTATAAACAATTGGCATTTTAAAAATGCCTGTTGAAATGAGTTGAAGTGGCAAAGAATTGGAAATTGAGGGAATGCCCGTCAATTGGGGAATGACTGAACAAGTTGTGGCATATGAGTGTGATGGAATACTATTGTTCTATAAGAAATGATGAGTGGGTGGACTTCAGAAAAACCTGGAAAGACTTACATGAACTGATGCAAAGTGAGGTGAGCAGAACCAGGAGAACATTGTACATAGTATCAGCAACATTGTGCAATGACCAACTTTGAGACACTTAGCTCTTCTCAGCAGTACAGTGATTCAAGACAATTCCAAAAGACTCATGATGGAAAATACTATCCATATCCAGAGAAAGAACTATGGAATCTGAATGCAGATTTAAGAATATTATTTTCACTTTTGTTTTTTTTAGTTTTTTTTCTCGTGGTTTCTCCCTTTTGTTCTGATTCTTCTTTCACAACATGACTAATGCATAAATACATTTAATATGAGTACATGTATCAGATTGCTTGCTGTCTTGGGGAGAGAGGGAAGAAGGGAGAAAAATTTGAAACTCAAAATCTTATAATAAAAATGAATGTTGAAAACTATCTTTACATGTAATTGGAAAAAAATACTATTAAATGGAAAAAAAAGAAAGAAACAAGTTGAAGTTTTCTAGGTCTTAGTCTGCCCACCTCTTCAATGGGTTAATTTGATAGATAAGGAACCTGAGGCCCAGTCACAACCCTCCTGCACATTTTGCTGTAGGTTTTTGTTTTTTTATTTTTTTTTGGCTAGGCAATGGGGTTAAACGACTTGCCCAGGGTCACACAGCTAGTAAGCATTATGTGTCTGAGGCCGGATTTGAACTCGGGTCCTCCTGAATCCAGGGCCGGTGCTCTATCCACTGTGCCACCTAGCTGCCCCTCTCCTGCACATTTTGAAAAGCTGTCTTATACCCGGGGGACTCAGTCTGCAACAAGAATGACACTTGCCATACTCACTGCCTTATGTCACCATCTTCAGAGGAAGAGAGAAAATATAAAAGGTCAAGGTGATCTCAAAAGGGAAGAGATCTCACTCAGTGCCTTGAAGGAAGAAAGGGACCTGATCACATCTCCCTTGCTCTCTCTCTCCCTGCCAGGTCTGGCCGGCCCATCAGCTTCATGGTGGTTTTTATCACACCCAACCCCCTGAGCAAGATCTCCTGGGTGAACCGTCTGCACTTGGCCAAAATTGGGCTCCGTGAGTACTCCAAGTGGGAAAGAGACTGTAAGGAGTGGGCTGGGCTGGGAGAAGATGGTGTAGCTTGCTGAGAAAAGTTGAGCCAATCAAATGACAAGGATTGAGGTACCTACTAGGTGCCATAGAAAGTGTAATGGTCCCTGTGCTCAAGAAGCTTGTATTCTGCTGTGTGCATTCATAGATATATGCAAGATAGATACAAGGTATTTGTGTGTGTGTGTGTATGTGTGTGTGTGTGTGAGGGACACTAACAGCTAAGGGGATCAGGAAAGGTTTCACATAAAGCATGATGCTTGAACTGAGTTTTGAAGCAAAACAAGGAATTCTAAGAGGAAGAGTTGAGAAGGGAGTCCATTCCGAGCATGGTGGACAGCCATCGCAAAGGCTTGGAGATGGGAGATAGAACATCGTGTCCAAGGAATTTCAAGAAAGTCAGTTTGGATGGATGCTTACAGAAGATTAGTGGTTGGTGAAGGGAAATTTGGTCTGTGTGGTCACTGGGAGGGTGAGGTGATCCATGAGGCCATGGCCATGAGGACAAGCCCTTTCCAGAGGTAATGGTTGTATTGATTGGATGACGCAGCCCAGAGGTAAGGGTAGAGAGTGAGGGCTGGACAGGGTGGCCGAAAGATGACAAAATGGTAAAGCTGGCAAGGTAGATGGTTGGATGGACGTGCAAGGAGGTTGTGGGTATTTATTAATAGCTGGGCTGGGAGCCAAAGCCAAGTCTTGTGACTCCAGATCCAATGTTCTTTCCATCAGACCAGAATAGTCTCAGAGACATATACTGAAAAGGGGCCCTAAAACATGGAGTGTGAGCGCTGGAAGGGGCCTCAGGACAGAGAATGCTGGAGCTGGGAGAAGGACCTTAAAACACAGACTGTCAGAGATGTTAAATCAACTTTAGAAACCAGTCAGTTCATCTTTTTCATTTTACAGAGTAGAAAATACTGTTTGGTCTACCTCATTTTGTTTGTTTTAAATTTTTTTATTGATTTAATATCATTTTCATTTCCAAATATATCTCTCTTTCCAGCCCTTCCCAGAGAGCCATTCTGTGTTTTTTATAAAGAAAGAGAAAACAGCAGCTTAGAAAAATTCACCATCACATGCATTATTCTGTACCCATAGTCCCCCACTTCTGCAGAGAAGGGAGAGTTCCATTTTTCCATCTTGTCTATGGGGCTGGTCTTGGTCCTTATAATCACCCAATATTCTGTTTGCTTTTGTTATTGTTCTTTCAATTTAAACTTTCATCACTGTAAATTGTTTTCCTGGTCTTGTTCGTTTACTTGGCCTTGGTCCGTGTGTCTTCTCTGATTTCTTCATATTTATTGTTTCATACAGTGCAGTAATATCCCATTATGTTCATATGCCACATTTTGTTTAGCCATTGATTTCCCCATCGACAGACACTTCCTTTGTCTCCAGCTCCGTGTTATCCCCAGAAATATGGCCTTGCTCGCCATCTTTAATCTCCTTGGGGTTCATGTGCTTGGCCCACTTCTGCCAATCCTGCCCCCGGGTGATTCTCCTTTTGGGCCCAGACCCTTGAGGATGCAGAAGGGCTGCTTGAGAAAGGGGCAGAGCTAGACTTTGAGGTTTCCCCTCCTATTGTGGGGGGTCCCGGGACGTTGGAAAGCACAGCGGCTTATCTTCCGCAAAGCCAGGGTACCAGATCTCTGGGAGGTGGCCTTGGCTTACCCAGGCAGGGCAGATCCCCCCAGGCCCATATCACTGATTGCCTTCTTTGGGAGAAATCCTTCCCCCTTCCCCAAGCTGGCTCAGTTCTAGTTGCCCCAGGCCAGTACTCAGGCTCTGTTTGCATGCTAGCTTTAAAGACTCCTTTAGGTTTTCCCCAGATAGGCTGGATGAAAGGGTGCTTAGAGCGTAGTGGAGAGCCTGGTGACCGATGCGGGCCAACTCATTCCCATCTCCTTTCCATTTCCTCTGAAGATGCTCCACTGCCTTATCTTTATGCTGTTCTGCTGCAGCAAAAGTTTTAATGGAAGGAAATTCATTTGAAATCTTATTTGAATGCGTGAGTCCCCCTGGGGCTGGAATAATTTGTTTCTTTTATTTTGTTAGTTTGTTTTTATCTGCAGTGCCTGGTTATTGGGGAGGAGAAGGAGGGGGGAGGGTTGGGGTGGAATAGTATAAACCTGTTAGAAATAAAACATGTTAAAGACATTTCTGAGTATAGGATTTTATTTCTTTTTATTTCTTTTCTTTTTTTTTTTTGTTCTGTTCTTCATGCATGCATGCTCCCTATCCTGAACGTGTGATGTGGTTAGAGTTTAATATGCTTCTAAGTGAGAAGGAGATAGGAAGCAGCTTGGTGTAATGGATAGGGTTGGACATGGAGTCAGGAAGACCTGAGTTTGAATCCTGCCTGCGACACTTATTGGCTGTGTGACCCTGGGCAAGTCACTTAACCTCTCTGGGTCTCACTTTGTGCATCTTTAAAATGGAGTGTGTGTGTGTTTGTGTGTGTGTGTGTGTGTGTGTGTGTGTGTGTGTGTGTATATAGACTCAATGATCTCTAGCTCTATGATGCCTCTGAAAGAACTGATTTTTGGCACAGCATCTCTCTGGTGCCTAAGTTGTGCTGAGCTTTTTTTGCAGATCAGGAAACTGAGGCCCAGAACGAGGAAATGACTACAGTCATGCAGGTGGTGAGGGCTGGAATTTGAAGCCAGAGTTGTCTCCAAGTTCAGCATTCTGTCTGCCACACCAGAATGGGGTAGAGGATGAAGAAGGTTATGATGATCTAGGGACATTCTCAAGATGAAGGGAAAGGTGTTTGATTCCTGGGAATGCCACCTCCCTTTCCCCCGACCCTCAATAGCACTGGCTAGCAATTAGCCTGAATAGCCTGCTCTGTGCCAGGCACTGTGCTAAGCACCAGAGATACAAAGACGGGTAAAAGACAGTCCTCTGATCTAGCCCTACTGTCCCATTTTAAAGATAAGACAGCTGAGTTCCACTGATGGGGAAATGATTTGCCCAAGGTCTCCTGACATCAAGACTCAAATCTTTCTACTACATCACCGAACCCTCATTGCCTGCTGTATAAAATCTCACCTCTTTAGCCAGGTATTCAAGGTCCTTCCTGATTTGACACCAACCCGAATTTTCAGCCTCAGTTTTTACCACCCCTCTGTGCCCCACTGAAACTGAGAAGCATTGTGGTGATCTCCCAATGACTTGTTCTTGGATAGATCATGTCATTTTTCTTGGACTTAGTATACTGCTCTGTCAACTGAGAGGGTTGAAGGAGATGGTTTCTGAAGTCCCTTTTAGATCTACCATTCATTCTCCTTTCTAAAGTTCTTCCCAACTCTAATATTCTGTGTTCTAAGACCTCTTCCAGCTCTGATGTCCTATGTTCTAAGACCCTTCTGTTTTCGAATCCTTCAAGTTCTATTCTCATTATTGTAACATTCATCCCATTTCTGAAGCTCCTTCCAATTCTGACATTGTGTTCTCAAGTCCCTTCCTCACAAACCCTCTTGACCTTCCTCTGTTCTAATACCATTTCCACCTCCACCATTTTGTGTTCTAGGGCCCTCTTCTTCTTGCTTTCCCCTGATGTTGCCCCATGTTCCTACTTCCATATCCTGAAATCTCAGGTGCAGAGGTAGGAATGAGTATGTTGTGTGTAGGACAATGAAGAGACTGGCCTGGTTGGAGTGTCAGGAACATGCTGGAGAGGTGTACGCGAGTAGTAAGAGGGCATCCTCAGAGGGATCGCCATCTCTTTTTCATTAATGATCACCTTTGAGCAGGAAGGGGCAATGTCTCATCATGGTAACAGTGGAGGGCTTGGGGGTCGGTGTTCTGAGGATGCCAGAAGGCCAAGAGCCAAGCCAACAGAGGCCCATCTCTGTTACTAGCCCCAAGCTTCAGACTGAGCCATTTTGTATGGGCATCAGTGCCAAATGGGCCCTGCTAAATATGGTTTGACACTAAATAAGTTCCCACTTAATGTCAATTGGAAATAACTGCTTTGCCATTCTAACTTGCTCATAATGTCAATTACCCAAGTGGGTTATCAAGGTTCTCGTGCAACAGCTTTTTAATTTGGTCTCAGCCTGTATGCTTTAGCACTGGGAACAATGGCCCAGCAGATGTAGAGCTGCCACTCGGTTTCCTTCTAACGGAAGAGATCAGAGGCAGGCAGAGGGAGCCATCTGGAGTGAAAAGGTCAGATCATTAAAAATAATAATAATAACAATAAATTGCAAGGGCTTGATAGGAGGTGGTTGAATGGAGCTGGGAAGAGAAAGGGGGAAAAACACAGGGGAAAAGAGGTTTGGCAGCATATGGGAGTAAAGGCTTATGTCTGCAGAGGTGCTTATGCTATGTTTGAAAAAGGACCCTGGAATGTCCTTTGCCCAGTTTTTTTCTGGCCCCCTCCTCTGACTCAGAAACCCTGTTGGATTCCTACCAATCCTTCCATCCTTGAAAGCCCAATACATATACCGCTTCTTTAGGAAGTCTTTCTGGATCTCCCTTTTTGCTAGTAATCTTCCCCTTCTAATTTCCCCTAGAACTTTGTTTTGTAGTTCTCAATGTACTAATCATATATTAAATATCTGTGTTAGTGTTTTAATGTGAGCTGCCTGAGGGCAGGGTCTGTGCCTTACCAAACTTTATTTTCTTAAGTTATTTATAAAAATCCTTTTGATTGATAATCTTTTATTTTTTAATATCATCTTTATTTCTGAATAAAGGTGCCTAGGTGGGGGCAATGGAGAGAGCACAGAATCCAAAGTCCTGAATACTTGCATTCATATTCAGCCACACATACTTAAGAGCTGTGTGACTTTATGTCTGCCTCAGTTTCCTCATCTGTAAAACAGGGATAGTAATAGCATCTACCTCCCAGGGTAGTTGTAAAGATCAAATGAGATAATATTTATGAAAAGCACTTTGCAGGCCAGCCATATAAATGCTAGCTATCATCATTACTATTATTATGATTATTATAGCCTTCT